CTCTACAACTTATTTGAAGTAGTGGCCGCACAATACGTCAGAATAGCATTATGAAGCAAATTATCTCGTTTGCCTCTAGAAATCTCTCTCTTTAATTTTCTTTCTTCTCGTTCAATCTTGTTAATCTTATGTTTTACGTGTATCATCACTTATGTTTTTCTTTATTATTCTGGGACATAATTGACTACCTTCTCTTAATTCATTTCTTTGCAAAATATTAGTCGTGTTGTGACAGATGAAAATTGTCTTGCGTATCTAAAACACCAAAAGGAAACGTTTCTTGCAATAACCCGTAAACATCCCTTATTAGTGATTCTTTGATGGATTTGTATTAGTCGGCGCAGTCGCACAGAGCGAAATTTGGATCAGGCGTGGAATGGAACTACGTAAACCTAGTACAGGTATTGAAACCTAATCAAACGATTGAAATCCAACCCGATGTTGAAGGACTTTCAGCTCCTGTGGCGCAAGCATCTGTGATGAATCAACGCTAGCCTAATAGTAGGCAAGTAATGTGTTCTGCCGTCCAGTTTCATATAGTCAGATATTTTATCCCAGAGTATGTTAATGTCAAGAAGCATAGTATAAATATATTATATGACCTTCATAAGCTGCACAAATGTGTAATCTGACAATCAGATGAGCTGTAGGCAGGCAATTCTAAATGACTTTCGTGTAAGAGGAGACGAAGCCTGAAAGAGAGAGAGACTAAACATGAGCGTCGTAATGACAATACTTTTGTCGAGTTTATGAGCTATCGTGACTGCCTTTTCTCCTCTTTGCAAATTTACACGCAGTATTTACTGATCATAAACGTCCGAGGCCTACATAATCGCCGTTCATTCTAAAAATACATAAACAAAACAGACTCTGGAAAATTTTGATTTCTCCCTTTAATTATCATGACAAACATTGCTGAAATAACGAGATGGTTACGTTTTCCTCTATTGGAAATATTAATCGAAGTATTGTAATAGTTCAAAATATCGGTGAAAAGTTGAATAATAAACAGTAATTGCAGTTGATCTGTAATTGATGAAACTGGGTAAGCAAAAGCAAAGTTTGTATTTCTACGGAAAGGTCTAAACAATCACCAAAGTTATTGGCTTATTTGACCTTCATCAGATTATGATCCACTCAGCAAATCCATGTCATTCGCCGATAAGTGAAGTAATAATCAAACATTTCATTCCGCGATTCTGAGAACAAGCAAGCATTTCGCTGACGCAATGGAAAGCACGAAGCGATTTAGGTGACGGGCTGTGTTTTGTAAACACAATGTTATATTGTTAACGTATCTTAGTAATTTTGTGCACTATGGTCTCATAATCAACTTGCGGCAAGGTAGTCGTTTGATGTCGTGACTTGAAACTAGAAGCTAGGGTAAATGGGGACAGCTCCTTCACAGGCGAGCGGTATTGTAAGCGACTCCCAATTCCTTATAGACGCTCATATTATGTCAACAATCCTATTGGATTCCTCTGAACGCAAGACTGCCAAAGCGAAATGTTCTTTGATCTCTAGCAGAAATTGTATAATCAAAAACGCATATACTCGAAAATTAAAGAATTATTATTATAGAAAACGCTGGGAACCGAAGTAGTAAATATTGTCCGGTTGTTGTCTTCGACTGCTCGACTGGGCAACGCCCTGGTAGAGAAGTCGATGCCCAGGCGTCTTTCAATGCCTGCAATCAGCGGTCCGGGTTGAACCGGCTGTCGCGGACAGCAGAGCCGAGGTGCCCGTACTTTGCAAAAGGCCGTCTAACGGATGACGGTAGCTTTAGAAACTACAGTATTGTTTCTATTCAGAGCGTTTTCCTTAAGAGACTGAAAAGTACTTCCAATTTTGGATCGGTGCTTTTTTGACGAGTCTCTATTTGCTGGTTATTGTTTTTGCTATCAGCCTAATTCTGTTAGTTTCGTATGTTAGGCTCTTTCCCACCTGCGTGCGTCGGTTGAACGAAATGCACTGCCTAACACGAAGTATCATTCCGAATTGGGGGAAATTATGAGAACATGAGGGTATGGAATGAGAAGGGAAGATCGCGTACCGCCCATGACTCGTGTAGCGTGTTGCTTTGGCATTCGCTCTGAAGAGGTCAGAAAGACTGCTATCACAGTAGTACGGACGTACAAACTTGATTTTCACCTCAAAGACATAATATGTATCGCGACCTCCCAAATATCGACAAACTAGACAGTATAGTGTTGTCTACACGGTTCCCGCTGACAATGCTGGTATTTTATGGTAAAGACGAGGAATGGTGGGACAGGCGTTGGAGGAAACGATGCTCTTACCTGTCTTGGAATTTCGAGAGCAGCTACTTTCGTCTCCCATTCTCCAGCCTGTATTTCCGAGTTCCGTGTCACGCACACTATGGTCTTTATTCCTATGAGTGTGGACTATCTTATAGCAGGGAGATGGCGATGTTCCTTCATGCTGGAATGAGAGATCCGTCACTGACATACTTGACGGTTTGCAAAGTTCTGCCCTTCCATGTTTGCCACACCCAGCGCACCCATCCGTCCAGTTAAGATCTAGGCCACCCACTGATCTCACGACGCGTGTGGTAGTGAAGTTCTAGACAAGTACGATACGTTGTGTGGGTATGGAAGGGGAAAGGATGTGGAAATCGCGGGGCTCCGCTTTTTTGGGTACTGCTCCAGGACTCGTTTGGTATTGATCGGAGAACCCACGGAAAACTACCGAAGAGAGCAGTCTGGCGCGGGAATTCTCCTCCACACAGCGGCAGGCGTCGACCTAGCTCTCGCCGATCCGGCCGCGTCGGGGGTCGAACTCTAGGGCCTCCCGGTGCGGGCCGCTGCAGCGATGCTCCGGCGAGTGGAGGGCGACAGCGCGCGTGCGGGGGAGGGAGGGGGCGGGGCGCGGGGCAGTCTGGCGCCGCCGCCCCATCTCTATGCAAACCGGCCGCACAGTGCGAGCGCGCCCGGCACGCTATTGCGCCTCGCCTGGAATTTTATTCGCCCCGCGCGCGCAGAGGCTCTGTGGGCGCGGGCGCGAGTGCGGCCGGGCGACCTCGCTTTGCGAGTTGTGTCGAATGGAATGTCTCTCCGGGGTGTAACGAATGTAATCGCTAGCAGGCGGTTTATTTTTAAGTTGATGCTGCGTGAATGTCGTCTGAAAATGTTTTGAGGGAATTTAGATGAACTGGAATTGATGGATTGTTATGTTTCGCTGGATAGTTAATTTCAGGAGCGTTCGATTTATTGTCAAAAATGGTCAATTGAGGCCAGTAGTCGTCTTTTGACCGTTTTATAATATTTACTAATAAATATATACTAATAACAATAGTGATAAATTAAATACGAGGTATGCTCAAGATACGATATGTCGTAGGGAATAAATTAATTGTGAAAATGTAACCTTCGTGCCGTGCAAGCAGGAGGTAAGAGTGAGGAGACATTGCGCAGGTAGTGTTAATGGTGGCTAACTGCTGTAGATTGGTGGTGTGGAGTTGCGAGGAGGCGTTAAATGTTAGTTTTTCCTTTGCGGTGTGTGTGCTCCGCCCAGTGTCCGACGCCGCTGCGTGCCTGCGCCTCGGATGAAGCGCCGCGCCGTCCCCGTCCCCTCCCCGCCCCCGCCCCCGCTTCTGCTCCGGAGTCCACGCTCGCCGCCCGCCCGCCCGCCCGCCCGACACACAGCGCTTGCTCACCTTCTCCTCTCCCTCCTCCTCCTCCTCCTCCTTGACGCACATGCCTCTGACCAACCTGCTGGCTCTCTCACTGCACCCATCTTCTCGCCTCCCCTCACCAAAGCGTGCTCCGCCTTCGTCTCGACGCCCGCGATCGCACCCGCCCCGCCACCATCGATGATCTCGCTGCCTCTCCTTTACCGCGTCACCGCCGTCACACCGCTCTGTGGACGTTATTCTTCGTAACTGAACTAGCCTTAGCCTCCTAGCTCTCCACGACGCCCCACGTCACGGTTCCGTCTCTGCATTGAGAATGCCTCGTTCTCTCGTCCTCCTTCGCTTGCTCCTCCGTCGTACCCCCTGCGTCTCTTCCCCCGTCCCTACACCGTCTCCTCCACGTGTCCGCTCACCCACTCCCTCGCCCGCCCGCCGTTCCACTGCCCGCGGCCCGCCCCTGCCCCGGGCTCCGCCGCCGCGCGCGCGTTATGGATCTTTTCGCCCCTGGCCTTCGCGGCCGCCTCCGCCCCGCTCGCGCCTCTCGCGCGAAAGGTGCTCGCCCACGTGCGGGCCCGGCTTAAACGAGCGCTTCCACGAGGCCCTGAAGCGCCCTTGCCGTGCACAAAACGGGCGCGTGCTCGTATAAAGGTTTTAGTTACAGTCGTACTTGGCATTCGAGAACGATAGAGTACTGCCGCGCGTGTGTGTGTGAGAGAGATAGTTTGAAATGAATGCGTGTTGGTCTTTGTTGTTGTGGAATTGAATGTAATATTTGCTGGTTGCATTACAGTATGATTGTAGTCCAAATATAAACGTGTGTTTTACGGACTCTGTGTTTGATAATTTCATTTCACGATTTACTCTAACCTCCAAAATTGTTAAAATTATAATGTACTTTTCTGTCTATAGATTTTTCAACTTTGTCAGCTAATGGCAAAGGGAGGTGATTGGTTTTGGTATTTACCCGGGTATCATTTAGATTTGGGATTATTTGACCTCTAGCATATCTCTGGCATTGAATAGCCGGTCTAATTCCTTTTCGAAGGGAATATTTCGACCTTAAAAGTCCATAATCGCGTTTGAGAGATCAAAAACGGTGGTGTTACAAGAAGTGATTCTCCTGACTCCAAAAAGAAAAACTTCTCCCCTATCATGAAGAAGAATTAAAGCGCTCTGAAATGTGATCGTGTTCCCCACATCGTTTTACTAGATGCGAGGTTTCCAACTATATATCTCTCTCTGCCCCGTGAGGCACAAAAATCCCTCGTGGCAGACGCCCGTCAGGTCCGTCCATGCGCCACCCCCCAGTTTCAAAGAGCTGCCACCCCCTTGAGATAAAAGTGAAAAGATGCCAGGTCGCTGTACCGAGATCGAGTCTTCCTTTTCAGAGGAACCGAAGCCCCTTTCGCTCGGCGGCGAGGGGTGGGGGAGGGGATGGGGCGGAGCGTGCGCCGGCGCGTTGGAGCGCCGCTTCCCCCCCTCCCCGCTGAACGCGGAGAGTGCGAGGGGCGGGGGCGAGAGGCGGGCGGGACGGGGGTGGGGGATGTCGAAGAGGGCGTCGGAGCTGCGGATTGGGGCAGTGGGGTGCCGGGGGAAGACTGAGGCAGCGGGCTAGTACTACGGAGGAGACAGGCGGAACGGGCGGGGTGGACGACTCACGCTCAGGCTCTTGTCCACGTCTGCTGGTGCCCAAGAACGAGCAATGGTAGGTGAAGGCTTTAGAGAGATGGATGTGAATAGGAAAAGGAAGGAAGAGTGATGGAAGGGGAAGAAATACTGACAGACAATGAGCTTTGGTTAAGGTGTGGCAGGATATTGGCGGAGAGAAAGTGAAGGGTGACAGGGGCCGCTAGGCAACCAGTGTGTGTGGATGCTGAGACCTTTCCGTTCAGTCTAATTGGGAACATAGAGGAGGGAGTCCCTGGAGAACGGAGTTAGGTAGGGGTAGCGGAGAAACGTTTGGGCAAATGAGTGTCTGATACCGTGGAAACAATACTGGAGGAACGGAAGGCAGACGTGAAAGGAATATCGCGTGGTGAAGGGAGGAAAGGTCGGTTGAGAAAGAGTGAAAGATGTTGAGATGTGCACCAGAGAAGCTGCGCAAAGCAGGCGTTCTGATTGCGAACTTTGATGTGGAGGTGAGGGATGTTGAGACCGCCACTTCGCGAACGATTCGTGGTTAAGCAAGGGCTGAAAGGGAGGCGTCGTTGGAGAAAGAGGGCAGTGTTGAGGTGATCTCGAGCAGCTGGCCTTTGGAGGGCGCGCTGTGGGTGAGGGTGCGCGGCGTGAGGAGACGGAAGGTGGAGTCGCCAGGAGGCGGAGCGCCGGGCGTTGAGGTGGGCAGCGGGGCAGCTGGGGCTTTCGGGGCGTGCTGGTGGCGAAGCGGGGAGGGGCGGCGGGGCGCCGGCGCCGTGGGCAAGATGGCGACGCGCGCGTATTGATCGCCGCCGCCGCCGCCGCTGGCGGCGCGCGCGTCCGGCGGTGCCTGGCGGCGGGCGGCACTCGCGGAGGAGGCGGCGACGACGCGAGTAGGCGGCGGGAGCGCGGTGGCGGTGGCGGCGGCGCGGCGAACGGCGCTCCTGTGAGCGGGGGCGACCCCGACGCGCGGAGGTGCAGCCCCAGGTGAGCGCAGCGCGCAGCCGGCGCCGGGGCGGGCGGGCAACCCGCACGACGCTCGTGTTGAGGGGGCGGTCGATCCCGTGCGCCACCCGGCTTATGAATGACGCTCGCTTGGCTGCACGGGCATGTGCATGGATGCGTGTATGTGTACGGCGTTGTGGACGTATTGCTTGTCAGCTCGGTAGGAAGTCTAACCTGGGTCTCCTGGTGTACTTGGACATGCTGTAACTAACATTCAGCCACCCTGGCCACCAATGGCTCGGACAGTTTCTTGGGATTGTATATTGACTCTTACGATGCACTGACAAATCATACCTAAGTGCGGATTTATTTGTAATTGTGGTCCGTCGGATGCGAGTGCTGGTGCCAGTGGGTAACTCGGGTTTAACTACCGTTGACCTATAGAAGTTTCTACCACTGGAACACGTCGCAAATTCAGTCACGTAACTCTTTCAGATTCATTAAATAGTAAGCAAAATAGATTATATCTTTCCGTGTCTGATGTGATGTTCGTGAGACAAAGTTGTAATTCAGTGCGGATATGAATTAAAGAATCGATGTATGCATTTCAATAGAGTCACGCGTTTTACGTGTATTTATTGGTAGCGACTTGGAAATTCAAATTGCAGACCGTGGCTTAATGCAAACGTTCTCGTAGAGCTTCGAGGTGAGGCTGCGGAGAGCGAGAGTTCGGGGACTCCCCGCCGTGACGTTGCGATTTCTCGGGAGTCGATGCATCCTCTCGGCGTTGGACCGTCGAGCTTCCTTTTCGACCGTACGTCCGAAAAACAGATCCGATTAAAATATTTTATCTTTTATCGACGTTTTAATTTACTCAATGTTCTTTATATGCACAGCAATAAATTAGGTTACTTTCATGGGTTCTCTTTATTTTGGGTTCGCTTTTTTGCTGCGTCATTCTTTTTCCATATATAATATTTATTCAATTTTTTTAGTTGTACTAGCGTAGTGGAAGGCAGGAAGAAATAAGTCGTCATAGTTGACTGAAAGTAAAAAAAAGAAACTATGCAATTTATTTCTTCAAATGATTAAAAGAAAATGAAAATATGGTTCAATATTTAAAGAAAAAATATTTTCGCAGATTTTTCAGTTCTATGAAAAGTTTAGTATAAAAAAATAGTCCTCCAGCATGTTCTTGAAGGACGTAGTAGGGATAGGGAGGCCTTTACATGCTAATCTCTGCTATCCCTCAGGGTGGAAGGATGTGCTTAGTGCGGTAGTGAGGTACCTCAGCCCCACTCTGCGCTCGTGCTGCGGTTGAGGGTCGATCCTTCAGCCTCTCCGGAGCAGGAAGGGAATTTCCCGAGGGCAGGAGAGGAGAGGCGAGGCGGGGCGAAGGGAGGGGACAGGAGGAGGGTTCGCTTTGTGTTGAGACGCCGGAGCGCCGCCGTCGGTCGATATCGAACCCCGCACCGCGTCGAACGACGGACGCTCGCCTAGACGCATGAGAACAAAGGAAGCACTTGCCGTGTAATGCATGCGGGATAGGGCGGCGAATTACGGCCGAATCACGGTAAGGAGCGAATTATTTGATCGAGTTTATGCTCGGCGTGTAATCTCATGCCGGAGAGACGGCAGGTTTGCGTCGATTGGTGCTTGTATTAATTTGTATTAAAATTAATTATTTTATCAAAATTATATAGAGTATATCGTTGGAACGTTTGCCTCGTACCATATATGAATTCCTGAAATGTTAATCTTTTTTACACCAGGTAAACAATATGTATGACGTAAATACATTTACAAGTGTTATCGATGTTTTAGAGAATTTATTTCCATGTAATGGTGGTGCGTATGTTTTTGAAACTACGTAATTTATTTTATACTCTATTATGGCAGCGGACAGGAACCAGCAGCGTTTGAAGTTCATAAATTAGGTTTATGAGCTTCAGTGGCAAGAATGTCTACCTCAGCAATCTTGTGTTTGTGTGGGCAGAATTGCGTTTTTGGATTTGGATTACATGTTTGTTTAATGAAGACGCAGAGAAAGTTGCCTAAATCGATCAGCGCGGCCATTCCGATCCACTGGACTGTCTTCTAAAACTAGCCGCAAAACTAGCAATCGCCCCGAATGTCTCTGTAAAGCAAGGAAGCCATTGCCAGGGTAATAATGCTTCTTTTTCTAAAGAAATGTTCCGTTATCCGTTATCAACTAACGAATCTTGTTTGTGAAATTGACATATCCTCTAAATGACAGTATACAATCTATTTTCACCCCGAAACCTTGAGACCTTAGGAATAAATTGAAGGACGCGCATTTTGGACGCGAGGGCTCAGCTTGCTCCTCCCGGCGTACCGAGCGTCGGGTTGCCCTGCGAGCGAATGGGCTGGCGAACGCGATCGAGTGGCGTTGTGCTGCTCAGATGATCCCGAGGTGTCGGATGTCGCGGACGGTCGAAGCCGGGTGACGCAGCGTTTTGACGTTCAGCTGGCCGCGGGCCGGGGAGCTGCGTCGGGGGGCAGGTACTCGCCTGCTCGGGGCCCGGCGACGAGGGTGTGCGGATTGGCTGACGCGCACCGTTCCTGGACGTTGATACGTAACTTTCGGCATGCTTGGGGTAAGGCTCTGTTCTATATTACTCGGTATTAAAACGATAGTAGACAGAAATACTCATCAACAAATAATAGCTGACAGAACATTAAATCCGCATACAACGCTTCCATGTGCATAATTGAATTAAATGTGAGTTAATATTGAAACAAATATCTATCATACGTTACGTATACGTTACGTAATTGATGAAAGTAGAGTAAAATACAAAAATTTAGTTCGCCACGTTTTTGTTTTAACCGATGTAGTTATATTATAATATTATACATTTTCAGTAATTGAAACGCAGCTTTAAGGAATGTTAGGAAGTGTGTCCGTTGAAAGTACTTTTATCATTTGTGGCAAAATTAATTGAAATAAAATTGCATTAAATGCCAAATATATAAACTACCTATACTGTCCTTAATTGTCATCACATCGTCCGCATTAAGTTCCTGATTGTCACCATCTTGTCTTGTTGTATAGGCAATTTAATTCCTTATTAAGTTTCTCAGGGACTCGAGGGCTTGCAATTCCAATTGAATAAAACATGTTTAAACTTCTGGGGGTTTCGTTGTTTAGCGACAATGTGTCATTGTGTTAGGCCTCTCATCTGCTCTTGTTCTTGTCATTATTAAGGTTTTTGAAAATGTTTAAATAATGGTTTCTTTGATATTATAACTGGTTGACTTTATTCCAATATTTCATGCGAAGAATTTTTAGCGTGACTAAAATACGTATTTATTTAGGAATATCCTCTGCAAATGGCGATTGTCATCATTGTTGTGTGTGTTGTATGTATTACAGCGAGAACGATCAAATAATTCTACCGAATGAACTACTATACAAATAACGACATGAATGTTTAAACATAATCACTTCTGCCATGGAACGTAATATAAATTATTGATAATCGAACTGAATGAGTTTCGATAAAGGATTCATAACATCGAAATTCATTAAATTGTATTGTAATTGTTTTTCAGGAGTGTACTTATATGTTTTTAATATATCTATTACATATTATTGAAATAGCTGCCGAATATTTCACAGCGGTTACTCAAGACATGAAATCCACAGATCGCTCTATAATCAGAATCGATTTTGTCATTCCCTGAGAAGATATAGTCGCGTGAAGTGTTGGGTTTTGATATGAGCACTTCTATTCCCTACTGTGCTGTTTGACAATGACAATGTGTTAAGGGAGTGTGGGAACTCTAGGACTAGACTTGGAGTGAGGTGCTGGGCATTCACTGTGGGCGCAATCGATACAACCTAGCATGTCGCCTTCGTCCTCTTGATGTAAAATGTGGTACTGCCGACATTTTGGGGGAAATGTTCTGCTTTTGCTAAAGCATGAATGGGATACCTCTGGCTCTTGTATAGATTAGAAAGAGGCTGCAACCAGACTTTCATTATGTGACGTATAGTTAGAAATATTCTTCGATCTTAGCCTGTTAATTGAAGCATTTCACGTATTTCGCAGATCTTAATGTTATACTACCATACGATTTCCGTTCCATCTTACATTTAGGAATTCATGAAACAACTCTTCGTAAAATTCTTCCCGAACTAGTCGTATGCAAATGTTTTATTGGAAATAAACATTCTACTCTCAAAAGTTTAAAGAAGAGAGCTGTATAGAAAATATATACTTATACGTAAATTATTCAATTTAAAGTACGGAGACATTCGTTTTGGATATTTACATTATAATTATGCTTGTGATTACTTAGTCAAACGTACTGAATGGAGTTAAATGATGATAAGTTGGTAAAGTTTTGAAACTTAAGTTAAGAACTGTTCATTGTACTCTCACAATTTGTATTTTCTTTCGATTCTCTTTTGTAAGAGTTTGTTTTCTTTCTCGTGGAAACTTTTGCATGCCTAGTTGGTTGGGTCAATTTGAGAAAGTAATTTTCAAAATTCGTTTCGCACTTCATAATATCCATTAAAGATATATTCACTGACAAATTGCTTTGCACTTCTACACAAATTCTATTTTCATATTTTACTTTCGTTAAATAATATTTTAGTTTAATATTATTTATTTTTATACGCATCAAGTTTTTCAAATCTAAAGTTGAAGTTCGATATTTCTTCGCAATTGTGTATTGCTTTGGAATTAAGTTTCGTCTCCAGTGCACCTCTTATACAAGTGCACAACCTTTGTTTCTGATAAGTCAATACGTGACTGTACTTCGGAATCGTTATCTTCACGGCAAAGTATGGACTTACTAACGAAAGCATGGACGAATAAAGATTGAGCTACCCAAATAATTTCTTGGGTAACATTAAAGTTCTGCTACATGTGAATGGTACATTTCCTACCTTCGAGTATACATAAAGAGATTTTTTATTCGAAATACGGTGCCACTAAGTTTCATTCTATTGAGCAGATGCGATATCTCACGAAAATAGTTCAATTCTCAAATTAGTGAATATAAATTCTGTCAGCTGTTCTTACGTTTGCAAATTGCTTTTTCACATGAATGGTCAAAGAAAATATTTCATTCAAAGGCCACTTTAGCTATTTTCATTGTTCATAAGTGATAATCGCTTGTCTTTTGATTTTTAATTATATTTGATTAATTAATTCTGGAGATCTGAGAAATTAAATAATATACATACACGCATGTTCATCACTCATGTTTCATATTCGCATGAGACATTAAAGGAACTGTACAGCGACTATTGCATTGCATATTTTTCGGAAATAATTAATTGTTATCGAAGTATTAATCCGAAAACCGTTATGAATGTTGCTGTAAAATATATTTCTTTTGACATAAAAAAATATATCTACGTTCACTTCTGTTTATTCGTGAGATTATTCGTACTTTTTTCGCAATTTGAACATCATTTTATAGTACGCAAATGTTAGATGCCCGATTTGCTACCAGATGGAAACAAATATCCACAGAACTACGTATAAGACTTGGGGGAAGGCTTTTTGCCCGTGGTAGCAATTAGAACTACAAAGAACTGTAAACCGCAAAGTGAAGTGTAGACCGCCAAGTGTAGTGTATACTGCAAAACTTAAATTATGAACCGTAATCTGCAAGCCGCGATCAGCGAATCACCATGAAGGGCTAACCGGTGGGCCCGAATCGCGCGCCGGGCACGGGGAGCGGGCGCCATTCGCGAGGCGGCGCGGCGCGGCTGCGGCAATGCCAGGCGGACGCCGCGCCGCGCCGCGTCGGGCATCGAACCCTGGCGCGGCCGTCTGCGTCGCCGGCGGCCAGCTCTTCCCACCACGTGCCTTTCACCGGCACAGCAGGGCACTAACCCACTTGCAGGCGCCGCCCCGCTGCGTCCCGCGAGCGCCTAGGCTAGCTGCACACGCGCCTGCCGGCGTTCGGGTGGTCAGACGTACGTTTTAGCGCGGTAAAATGTCGGTCTCGTCAGCTGCTTTGTGCAGTTGAAGTTTGAAACGGAAGCGGTGAAACAGTTATTTCTTACGTTGCAGTACCGCCGCGGACGAACTTCAAACTTCAAGCGCAAGTGGGGGGGGGGGGCGTGGGGAGGGTCGCAATAGTTTCATCCAGAAAACAACTTGGGTTCGTTTCCCACCATGAGCGGATTTTAGCTGTGTCCGAGCCGATCAGTGTCTGAATGAGAATACGTGTCCGACTTCTCAGGTCAATAGTTTGCCTGGTTTCCTCCAATCATTTTCAGGCTTATGCTGGTGTAGTTCACTTAAACCACATGTCACGCGCGCTATCGTTCTTTTCCCATTCTGTCTTGAGTCCTATCCTCAGGACAGGGTGGCTGATGCCCCGACCTCATTTAGCCATGCTCCGTGATGTAGAACAGTGCGAGCTACTTGCTCGCCCGGGAAGCCCGACGCCTCTGCGAGCACGGGCCGCTTCACGTGACTGCGCTCCCATTGCCCCTCCAAATCTAGAAAGGGGTGTGTACGCGCAGTCTGTTGCGAGGTGCGGGCAATGTAAGCGCAAACTATTCTCGAAGTATCATGAAGAACAATGGATATGTTTGAGAAAATGTTTTCCTGATGTTTTCTATCGAACATCAGCGATTTGAATTAGGTTTATGCTTTAACATTTTATTACTTTATTTCATGTTTATTTTCTTTTTATATTCTTCCTTGTAGAATGTTTGACAAGAGCCATAAATGTGATTGAGAGGCGAATTCTTTGCTTTGCAGACGGACGGAGACAGGTAGACTGTCGACAATGTTATGTCGTCAATCGATTATTCTGTATCAAGGACCGTCAAAACTATGGGGACACGATTTATTCACCTTTTTTACCTCTTTAGTACCTCATATGACGAGTTTATGTATCAAATCGTTCCTCTTTCGAAATAAGCGTAAATCGAGAAAGGGAAATGTGAAACTATCATGTCTTCGAAGTCCTGCAAGATGCACACTCATTTTCGCTCCGCGTTCCAGCACCACGGGCAGTTGTTATCTCTTGAGGGAATATAATTTCTATAAGAAAGAAACCTTACATTCTCTTAAACTTATGCATGATCAATATTGAAGTTATTTTTAAATAATGATTTCATACTGTGAATTATTTAGTTAAAATATATTCAATTATAAATTGAATTATATTTATTAATTAAATTGAAATTTTCAAGAAATTAGTAAAATAGATTGAAAGAAAACTAGCCTCCGGACATATGAGAGGTCAATAGCTTTGTTATTCAGAAACTGGGGGAAAATCCAAAAGCAATAAAACGTTTTCAATTCTGACTGAAAAATGCAAATATTTGAGTGTGTTATTCCGCTCCTTCTCACTATGCGTGTACCGACTGATTTTTTGTACTCGGTGCGTTACTGCTTTCGACACAGCTGATGCCATACGATTGCAAGTCATGTAGAAAGAGGCCATGCACCATCGAATATTTGCAATTCGCCGGGAACAACAACTTTTTTCGTATTCTTAGTATGTCGAAAAATAACTGTTGTATTGTTTTTTCGTATATACTGTTGCAATATTTCATGCAGAATTAATGAAGAGTGTCTTGGATTAAAATGTGGTTGTTGTTCTTGAGCAGTGAGCGTGCTACATGTTAGAAAACCAATTTTTTTGCGGTTTCGCGAAGCATCGTATTTTGCTGCCGCTGTCCAATAGTATGTAGTGTCGTTTCCGCCTGCCGGGCAACTGCGCGGGCGAGTGTCGGCGGGCGGGCGGCGCCGTGACGCGGCCGCTGACGCTGCAGTTTGCCCGGCCGGCCTGCCTGCCGGCGGTTGCGGCAGTCGCTCGCGCCGACGAGCAGCCATGTGCGCGTGAGGACGCCCCTCCTCGAGTGCCTGGAGGCCCGGCCCTTGATGTTCGCCTGCCGATGAGAGGTTGGGTTCGTGCGAGGAAACATGTTTCAAAAGGTAGGGATAATTCGGGAGGGAAGCGAGGTGGAATTGGAAAATTAATTCCAACCAGGGTAGTTTTCTTGTGAGAAAAGACCCCGCAAGAAAGGAGATGAACATTTACGACGAGGATTTTGGCGTATTGTGAAGGTTGACAGTTGTTTAAGTTTGACAATTGTTTAAATTTTTGTAGTAAGTAGATCAGTTGATTGACGAAATGTGTGAAACCGCAGTTAAATGACACAGTTTTTATATTTAAATTTATTATTGATAATGTTCCGACTTATCTACTCTTTCTTTTCCTCATGTTTACTAAGATAGCACACATTTCAATAATACGAATATTTTATGAGAAACGTTTGGTGCCAAAATGAATGTGTTTTATTACTTCCTGTCCTCTGGGTTTTGAAGCGAAATAAGTTATTCTAAGTATTATTGAAAACCTGTAAGATTTTTAAATTTTTTGTGTTTTATCTTTCAATTACTCGTTTCGACGACGCGCATATGTTCAATGATCATGACTTGCTTTATTTCGCTGAGTTGAGAATAATTATCAGAGGAGTTTGCATCGCGTGCTGAGTGCGCGAGTGCTGAGACCTAAGAGCCAAAAGATGACAGTCCTTACGTACTTCCAATTGACTGTGCAAAATCAATAAAATGGTCGCGCTCTCATATTTATAGTTACTTTCATTTGTACTCGTTCTTTCGAGCTGACCTGCAACGACAATATTTTAATGGAACTGCGTTCTGTAAAATTGAGTTTTTATTCATTTAATAATATTTTTTACAACGTATGTGCAGATAAAGTTTTGTTTCAGAGTCATGACTTATAATTACTTGCGTTACTTTTATTCTTGCCGGAAATAGAAAAATATTGTATTAAAGAAACTCTCTTACCTGTTAATTGGCATTTTTCATATCCTCTAGTAACTTGTATTTTATTAGCAGTTTCAAATATCATTCAATGCAAAATTGCATGTTGCCTGCCATTACTTTCATCTCTCTGATTGGCTTCCCCAAATTAACTTTCTCTGAGTTATGCCTTATTGCTCTTCAAATAAATAAATCTTAATACCAGATAGGTGAGTCCTAGGTTACTCATTTGTTTTTGATTTCTTTTTCTGCTAAACGGTAGGAACGTTGATGCTACGAATGTTATAGGTCTCTGTTCTTATAATTGCAGTATTCGTGAGCTTATAAAAATGATGATATAACCATTCGTCCAACACCTGAATGCTTAATTAAATGTGCGAATGAGTTTCGTTCGTGTGAAGAAGTTTGAATGATAATAGATTTCATTATTCAAGCTATATTTATGATTTTATTTCCTTCAGTTCGGATTTCAGATGTTAAATTTTTACTGAAATTTTGGTTCATAGCATACCTGTTCATCCGTACTTAACGTCCATCTTATCATTGGGACGTTAAAAGGACTCCTATCTTGCTACTTTTATGATCCATGTAACAGTGAAATTGTCAGTCTTATCTTCAGCTTCTATGCTTCGCGAAGGCAAATGAGCTTGTGTAAGGCGACAAAATGTCTTTAGAAAATACGCTTGCTCGCTGTTTGGCTCAGGTAATGTCAAATGTACTATGTTTATGTGCTCAGGACACTTTTGTATAATTGCTTGTAATGCTAACTTGCTAATAATTACTGTTAAATTTGGTTTAGTTTTATGTAAAGTTTGTAAAGTGTTCACCGATGTTCGTCTTTTAAATCTATAACCGTGATATGAAAAGTCAAAACAGTACATTTGCACCCTAATAGATTTGCGGATATATCATTCTGGCTAAAGTTCTTACATCCATGAACTTTTTTCAAACGTATCCACCAATCATTGTTATCGTAAATGTGGAGGAAACTGCTTTGCTGCTGCTTTCACGCTCTGCCGAAATCACGCTTCCTTGTTTTTGCATTTCCCCGAATGTTAAATATTTGTTGAATATATGTCGTGTTTGAGCTTCCGTTTCTTCATTATCATCTCTTCCTTACACTGAAAGTTTCAAGGTTATGAAAAATATGTTGAACTTCGGAAATAAAGTTGTAAGAATTGTGGGACGAGTTAGCAGGAAATAACTCTGCGAACACGACCATAGAAGAGATATCACAAAGTGGTGGGGTAAAGAAATTTAGTTGTTTCATGCGCAGAAAGCTTTAAGTTTTAGGATTAATGTGCATAGTAATTTTCATTTTGAATGGGAAATTTCTCAGTAAAAGACTTATCATTCGGTGATTCAAGTTAGGTTATTCTTTTGTGGATATTTGTGAACTTTATGAATGCATTATGAATTTTGATCTGCTAGGATAAAAAGTTGGGGAACTGGGCTACTAGCCCAGAATATAGGTCAGTAGCCCGTTTTTAGACTGTATAAGGTAGCCCACATTTCACGCATTGTGCAAATTGAGCCTGTACTACTCATTAACAACGATGCGTGTTGCCAAAAGGCATACTGGATGTCCGGAAAGCAAGCGTCGAAACGTCGTAGATAAGCTCTTAAGACACCTTTAAGCACATTTTCTCTTATAAACTACAAGGATATTCCGAATGGTTGGCCCGTATTAGCACTTAAATGTTGGTTTGAAAAAATGCTTTCTAGGCAAACATTTGCATTGCAAAAGCATAGAACACTCCAGAAACGTGTAAATTGTGTATTATTTACAAAACAAATGAATATGTGTTTACAAAGCCAAAATTATTCGAGAAATAAAAAAGCAGTCGAAATGTTAAATTGTGTGCTTTTTTACTTCTGTGTTTTTTTTACTTCCTGTCTATGGTGAAAATGTCATGTAGTAGCGCACATTGATATTACGAGGGTGAAGAATTGTTTTATAATTTTGCTCAGGGGCGCCCTCAATTTCTTTTACGTGACGCGAATCTCCGATTTGTGGCAATCAGCTTCACATCTCTTTCCAAGAATGACGCACGAAGGGTTTTCTTCCCCATCGAGTCAAGGGTGCGTTCAACCCGAGATCTGCAATTTCATATGCTTAGCTTTACTCTAAGAACCGCGGCTTTGGTAAAGAGACGTAGGCTACCTATTTGAATGAAAATGAACACATGAAAATGAATAAACTACAGTTCGTAATAAGAGAAGAGAGTTGTATCGAACTTCACAATTAATACTTGTATATCTCTAGAGTAACCGTAATATTATGGAGGATATTGCTGACAGACTCGCTGTAGATTTAGGATAAATATGTGACGAGTAATTTGAGCTGCCGTATTAGTTTAGTGAAATTTTGGGTGAGATGAGCGTGCGCTTATTGTATCGGAATTCGACGCGCGTGTCTCATTGAAATTCGTTAGCAGGAAACGATACGTGGTGGACGCATTTGGAAAGCTGCATGAAGAGGGCAATTGGGAAAACGCAAATACGTTTAAACTGTGAAACGAGATACTAAAATCACCTTATAGGATACACCGAAATACAGTTTTTTATTAACGCCTGACTTTCTGGGTAGTCACCGCCATTATTGCTGTTGTTTGAGAGATATTTATGCTTATTAAAAACTCGAGTGCTAAGGGCAAAAGTTCTAAAAATATATTTCTGACACCTTATTGCATATTTATTGCTGTAAGCCTGTATTATAATAATAATAATAATAATAATAATAATAATAATAATAATTTTAAAAATGTACGTTTTCAAAAGGGGTTAGGATACCGAAAAAGTGTTGATGTAGATTTACAGACCTACCAAAATGAGTTGAGTTGCGTATAATCCATCTCAATTCTACAATACGTAATATACAGGTACAATGCAGGTGGACTAGCGGTTTCTAATGACACGTCGAGAAAGTAATCATTCAACTCATTCAAATCATCAACGATCGATACGACATTGCTTACTCTACTCTTCTATGTACATTGAATAACAAATGCTCAGAATGTGTTAGCTGTAGAATATGATTTTTTCCTCTCTTTCATATTTTATAAAAGATAGACAATGAATGATGATTTGAAGTTTTTTTTCTACCACTGTTATCGATTTTTCTCTCAAGGGCTTGCACTTATCGTAATATTTATCCTGACAATTGCGAAGTTATTTTTTGGGTTATTGTGTTTAGCATTGTGTTTATTACGATGCTAAGGAGTGTTTTAATTTTTGGAACGTGTGTGGTCTACCACAAGTCCATTTGTTAACTATACATTTGTATTACATTAAATATCCGGCATTTCATTTTTCGGTTTCATTGTACTTTGCAGTGAGTTTTCTATTTAAGGCGTAACAGTAGGAGGATAAATAGAATTGCAAATATCCCTCTTACAATGTGAAAAACGAAATAATCGTCTACAATGAAAATTATAATAATTTTATTAATTATCACATTCCCAGAGTAAACTTTCTTACGAGCTTTCTTAAACAGACTTAAAAGCAGTTCCATTTGAAATCTTTTTATTGACTAGCTTTGTCACATTATGGATTACCAGAAGATATCTGCTACCATCACGGAATTTATCCCTCTTACATTTGAAGAACTTTTGTGTTAAATGATATCTACACAAATGAAGTTCCTACACACTTTACCAAACATTAGTCAGAGTATAATGTTCCAGGTTTAATTTTATCTTGGGCGTAAATCTGAAGTTGCTGAAAGCTGATAAAGGGCTTATTTTTGATCCTATGCTGCAAATTGTTGATATTTTTTGTGAGTGGGTTTAGTTGTATACTGAGGTTATGATAAAAAGATTGTTTGTTTATATGAATAGTTTCGACGCATAATTTTGCTGTGAACCTGCATTGTCATTAGATTTGTTACTTAGTTCCGACTCGCGTGCTAGGAAAATTAAGACATTTCTTGCTTGAAAAAGGAGCCAACGAGTTTGTCTCGCATTAGATTTCGCGAACGCAGTCTCTCCTTGTTAGTGCTGGGCCGGCAGCTTAAAGCTCCGCGGAAGGGAAGGGGGATTTAATTTGCGAAAGAAGACGAGCGTGCGCGCAGCCCAGGCAACAAATGAAGGCGCTGCGCGAAGCTGTCGAAGGAATTGCGTCGCCGCGTGCGTGATGAAGTCACTGTATGTAGTCCTGTAGCGTCGTTGATTACCTTAGAGAATCTATATTACAAACTTGGAATATACGAGAATTAACGAAATACTTAACAGTCTTTGCCCATGCGAAATGTGTCAATGGTTTTGTTGGACATTCAGTAAAGCGAGAAAAATACAATGAAACAGTTTCGATTTTGACTGAAAAATGCTAATCGACTCGTTTTCTAACCTTATGTTAGGACTACATTCTCAAACTCAATGCGTCACTACTTATTATTTAGCTATGGGTCCCACCATGCAATGTGGAAGAAAGGAACTTCAGTATTTACGCGTTTCAATACAGCCAATTTTTACTGCTACAGGAATTCAATTTCCACGTATTTGAAAGAAGCATTTTTCTGCTGCGAAGACAGTAGTGGTAAACCAATTTGTGTTGTTATCCAAAGTTTATTAGTAATTTGATATATAAACTATTCCTCTCTTTCAACATAACAACCCTAAATAACGGCATAGAAAGAAAGGACTAAATTTTGAAATTATTTCCGGGGTACCTGTGTGTTTACTCCTAAAACGTAGAGTTTGGTAAAAACCTGGACACGTACGTTTCATTGGGTCGATAAATGTTTTCTGACGAGACAATCAATAATTACTTCTGGTTGTGTCAAAACAAGTTTGAGAAATGAATGAATATGAATCATAATTGAAAACTAGAAGTGACAATTTCACATTCCAGTTTCGTTGTTGTCATTCAATTTGAATATGTATTCTACGCAAATGAAAATAGTTAGGTGTATCATAAATTAGTGAAGCATTGCCAAGACGAGTTTCAAAAATAATTTTGTTACGAATCTGAAATGGGTACTGCGCACCTCAGTTTATTGTACAACGGTAACAGCGAATCGAGACAACCCACTCGTTTTTCTAATTAACACATTTGTAAGAGTATATAAAGCGAATACACAAGAAGCGAAAATACTTAGAAAACAGTTTACAATAAAAATGCATTAACTCATCTACTTTCCTTCTTTTTCTAGGACTCCTCTGCCTTATTTGCAATTCGTAATTTTGATACAAATTCCATTAGGCAAGCAAGTCTCATTTATTTATAGTTTGCGGGTTTGGATTTGGAAATCTCGTCATAATTATCTAAACAAACTATAACGCGTAATATTAACTAGTAGAATATCAAAATACTCTGCACTTAAGAATTTTCAGTAATAGTTTTAACGCAGCACTCTGGAGAAACAGTGGAACGTATGGAACGAGTTAGCCGAAGTCGTTAAAAGCAAGCAAAGTATGTCCAAGCGCGGAATTCACGTGCCCACTAGCATGTCTATTATTGATGTACAAAATGGTCAGAGCCCCAGAGCCGATTTGACCCCCCGTGGCAAAAGGTCACGGGTTCGAGTACCGCCATGAGTGTGGACGTTTGTTCCTTACCTTTTGTGCTTGTGTGTGTGTTTGTAAGAGAGAGAGAGAGACAGACAGACAAAGAAGAGAGAGAGAGAGAGTTGTGATGTGTTGAGGAGGGCTTCATTTTATGCTTTTCTCATATTCGAAGAGCCTAGTGTGTTGGTTGTTTCATTTATTTACTGAGTTAATGGAACCTAGGAATCCTTCAACTGGTGAGATCATTGAGTAATAATCTAATGAGACGACATAATTGATCTAATGCTAACAACAGTACGAGATGAATGCTAAAAGACAGTGCTAGACTGGGCAGGGAAAACAGGAGAACGCCGAGAATGCAAACCAAGAGCTTTGACCACAAATTCCACATGGATTATCCGCGTCCGGAACTCGAGCACCAGAAAGGCGAGTGCACTAACCCATACGCCCCGATACTGCGTCTTTGGTGCTTGATGCATCCCATTGAGAGGCAGAGGGTAACTGGCTTCGGGCGACATAAAAGCTCTTAACGAGAAAGGCTCTTAAAGGTATCGCCAGACAAAACGCAGTCTTATCGATCGGTCTCGTTTGCTCACTTTCGCAGTCCTGCAGAACAAGCGCGCACCTTATCTGCCTGCGAAATCTATACGTAGGTCTCTGCCAGGACTCAGAGGTCTCACAGGTTTTCGTGAAACGTCTCACCCCTCGTGCAGACACACCCCAAAAAAATTCCACTGAACGTGGTTGGAGAAGACAGAGATGAAGATGGAGTATTTTTATACCGAGAACAAATTTCGTTGTTCTAATCATTCGTGTAGTAAGCCGCTATCAGCGGCAGCTGTGCTGGAGTAACCAGGCCGACGCGGAGTGCGCTCCCCGATAACAGGCCTGGTATCGACATCGTTCGATCTCGATAATGGCAGTGCCGGAATTAGTTTTCTCGCACAAATCTGTCTCGGCGCGTTAGCCTCGTCTCCGTCGATCGGAACTGGGTGTCACAGTTTCCGATTTCGCGTATTTGTGCTCATTGGGCGCAGTAAAAGTGCGGTCCAGGGCGGCATGTTCGTTCGCCCAATAGGATGGGTTCACCCAATTGGGTGAATTGGTATTGATCGGCGACCGCTCGTGGCCGTTTCAGGGGCGAGACAACATCCCATTGAGAGGTACAGGGTAACCGACTTCACTCGAAGAAGAAAGCCCCAAGAGAGAAAGAAAGAAAGACATTGCTGTTAAATGTCTGACGTGGACGCTTCGTTCACCCAGTTGCTTCCTTCTCGCGCCCTCCCCCGATCCCGCCTCCGCGCGGTGTGGCGCAGTACATCTAAAATGCATTAACTTCACTATCAATCGATACGCCACATACCAGTTCAGGGCCAGTGGCGCCGGCCTGGAGCTCGTAGGAGGATCCTTCCATCTTTAATGCGTCTCGAACGGAGCGTTCGCATACTATATAATCTTTTCTGTACATGAAGAGCACTCGTAGGGGGCCGTCCGTTTTATTTCTCTTGACGCTGTCGCGTTAAATTGAACAGCCGAACATTATACAGCGGCGTACAGGAGGTTCTTCCTTTACGCTAGAAGGTGGGAACGGGATGGGATGATGCCGTTGTAGCAAATTGACGCTCATTTTCACTAAATATTGCACATTGGGAAACTTGAAAAAGTGGCTGAAACAACTATTACACCCGACAGGGTTACAGCCACCAAGTCAGACCTGGAGATCCTGTGAAGATTGGAAACAAAAACATTGAGATATTTATACAACACGCCGTGGTTCGTAACCAACAATAATTTGTATAAAGATTTGAACATCTCAACTATTGCAGAAACTTATCAGCTAGCGAAGAAAGAGGCATCAGAGGAGACTGAGCTACCATACGAACCTACTTTCAGTGAATGTGTTGGACAATAGTAAACACGTGTACAGACTGAAGCGTGAATGTATATTAGATTTACCATTTAGATTCACTTAATAGTTACTTGTATATTGTGTAATATTTACTAATTGTTCCAAGTGAACAGATTTTAAGTTGGCAGTATTGAAAATAAAAAATACAATTAAAAGAAACATGTGCTAGTATCTTAAAGGAAAGTAAGAAGCAGCGGTTGGTTTCGAAGGCCCTATGAAAACGCCACTAAAATGTAAACTTGTAAGGACGCTTCAATTTAACTTTGATTATCTAAATTACAAGATCGCTACATTAAGAGCGCAGTGAGCATAAAAGTCTCCTCCACTTGTCGTTCGTACGTTGTATAAAATGTATGAATAAAAATAAATATTGTTTACCCACAATTTCTTTCAGTGGTAACCAGCTAGAATGCGTGAGAATTTTCGATAAAATTTGATGTCTTTTTCTGTGATCGTATGAAGATCTTAATATGCTGTATTTTACCCAAATAATATTCTTCGCAGGTATATTAATTAATAGCATTTATGTGGTTCTTCAGAAATTATAGTAACCACAATTATTTAGGTTCCCACACATCCTTGTGGCCTAATCGTCTTTTACTTGTTTCGTGACTCATTCACCTCAGAGAGATCGATGCCCTGCTCGTTCACTGTGTGTGAAGAGATGAAGGAAGAAAAGCAAGTGGGTGGGTGCGAGGGAAATTGCACTGGCTGCGCTGCGAAAAGCGAGCGCCGCCCTCGTGAGGATCAATAGCGCGTGACCCCTCCCGTGCACCCACCGCGCTTGGTGCACACCTCTGATTGCTCAGTCGCCTTAATTTGTCTACACAAGAGCCTGGACTGGAAAGGCAAAATTAAATTAGGAATTAATGATAATAATTAAAGTAGTTATTTTTTTCAGTTTCGAACATATAAACTATTTTTTTTTAATTCGAGGATGATTAATCTATTTCTATTTGGTATTTCATTTTAATCGTGCTGATGGTAATCAGTGAACCATAAAAGTATCAGGATGAAATTTGGTGATAAATTTAATTTGGTTGTTTTGAAATCTGATTGCAGTGTGTAGAGTATTCACTATCGTAACTCATCTTTGCTACTAATTTAGTCTTCTCTCAACGATCAAAAAAAAAATTTTTAATAGTAGGTTCTCTTTCGTTGATTTATAGTGAGTAGATGTTTCTAGATAAGCAGAACAAATTCACAACACGAGTGTGTGTTTTGTTTCGTACATTTATATTTTGAGCGTGTTTGCTTCGATGTGTCACTTGTCTTGTCTCATACATCTGCGCAAACATTCTGCAGTTATTTCGCGTATGGACTTGTATAAAAACAAGTGTACCAGAAGTACTCCATCGCCGGGTAACAAGTATCTTCTCATACACTGATTGCCCCACCTCGTTCCGCATGTGTTTACTGAGTTATTTCCAGTCACATGGTTCTCTCCCAAATGTTCGAGAAAATGTAGCACATGCCATAGCATAATGGCTCCGATTTCTTTCCTTCTTAGCAGAATGGCCATATTTTTTTCACCAAAATTTTCCATTCATTTGACCTACGTATCATTTACAAAATTCAACAGTAGCAACAATGAATGAAAATCATAAGACTCTTTCCTCCTGTTATTCACAGACTGTAATGCGTCTCAAATCAATAAAAGATGTTTAAAATTTAATGTCACAGGTTTAACATTTTAAGAGAGTAATTTACCACAGTGTGATAATTTTTGAGAAAATGTCTAAAATGTTTAAGATGTTTCAATTAAAATTCCTCGAAACATTAGAAGATCCGCATCGGCCAGATCGATCGGGGACGTCAATCCACTTTTTCGGCGAATTCATGAAGGTCGTCAAAACTTCTAGCTTCCGATTGGACGATCATATCTGGTCTCTCCCGCTGACTTAATATATGTGGAAAGGCAAGCAGGTGGACGCTTTAGAAACAGTATTTTGGAGCTGCATTTTTGTCGAAACTAAAACTTGTTTATATAAATTGATACACATGCTTCAGCAAGTAAAGTAAAAAACCGTATTTATTAAAATATTATTTGGTATTGAAATATCTAAATACAATATAATGTAGACATAGTTTTATATTTGGGGGAATAAGAAATAAAGTTGGAAAATTAATGTTTTAAAATGTATCGTAGTATGGTTTTTCAAATTCAGTATTGAGGTAGTGTTATCGCTGTCGGAGCTTTCATTGCTGTGCAGAGTGCGAACGTGCCTAGGAGCCGCCGCGAGTGGCGCATGGCTGTAGGTGTAATTTGAAGCTTGACATTCAAAGCCGTATTGCACAGCGTACTTTTGCATTCAACAAATTCATCAACATTCCAGGTTTCCTATGACAAGACAGTGTAATGTATTCTTCCCGGTTGGCGAGCTATGAAGTTTGCCTGCAGCACAGTAATCAGGCGCTGATACGGTACGGTCGCTGTTGGAAACTTTGAGTTAAGGATGCGACATCTATGTCGATGTTTCTATGAAATTATCAAGGTTTTAAACATATATTGATTTAAGTCGATGTTTTTAACTGATTTAAATCGATATTTTGAGTTTGATGTTTTTACGTTTTCGATGTTGTGTTTGTGAATGAAAAAAGTTACACAATCACAATTTGTTTAAAGTTAAAATATGAAAGAATAACATTACACATTTATTCATGGGTTCGAGCGAAGCTATCGCTGCTTTTACTCTCTTCTTTGAGCAGACCATGACCCCCGCAAGGTGATCCCGGTGTCCATGTGTTTTGCACCCTTTCCTCACATTTCGTCCGTGGAGAGGCAGTCAAAGTGCGTACAGTAGACGTAGGGCCTCCACTTACCTTTCTACTCCGAATTGCGCTGGTCCCTTGAGGACACAGTCTTCAGGGTCAGCTTTGTTTATTGTTCTTATTTCTTTGTTGTTGTTTTTTTCAGTGAAATCTAATTAATAAACATGGGCGAATTAAACACTCCTCCTCGCGTACGTAAAAGTTGGAGATAACTAAACAACTTTGCGTTTTTACTGATAATTTACTGCTTGTCATTGCCTTCGATACGGAACTAGATATTCTCTCCACAACTTACCTCGATAGAGAGGAGCGCGGTTACGAAGGAAATATGGAAACAGTACAATTATGAACGGGAATTATGGGAGGGAAATATGAAAAGACAAACCGAGTTAAGTTGACATCTAGTTGATTAGTAAATAAGTAAATCTAAATCAATAAAATTAGTTAGAAAATAA